CGGAGATTTGTTCTCCTATTGTAGTATCTTTCGATTCTCTGTTTTTGTGCGGTCATTCTGACTAGTGAGGCTTCTCTTTTTTCATCTAATAGTTCGAGAGCAGTAGTCATGGCCTTATTGTTCGAGCTCTCGGTGGTGTGTCAGAATCAGGCGGTAGGTTCCCCGACCTCGACCGATATCAAAGCCTCGCGCCATATACCAGGGAGAAAGGTGTTTGCCCCGTGCTTGATTTTGGAGTTGTTCAGTATGCCCAGAGCACTTTGGGTAATATTTCTCTCCATCTTCCCTTTGCGCTTTCCAACTTCTTCTTTAAGTTTTGAATGATGGTTTTATTTGTGGATTCGGCTTGGCCGTTTGCACACGGGTGGTAGGGCGTCGACAGGATCCTTTTGATCTTGTGGTCCTCGAGGAACTGAGTCACTTTGCTTCCGATGAATTGCTTCCCGTTATCGCACGTTATCTCGGAAGGAATTCTTAATCGGCACATGATGTGGTCCCAGATGAAATTAATGACTTCTTTTTCTCTTATTTTTTTGAAGGCCAGCGCTTCAACCCATTTCGAGAAGTAGTCAGTCATAAATAAAATAAATCTAGCTTTACCTGGTGCCGTCGGTGGAGGTCCGACGATGTCCATCCCCCATTTCATGAATGGCTATGGCGACAAAACTGAATGTAGTTGTTCACCAGGTTGGTGAATCATTGGGGCAAATCTTTGGCATTTATCGCACTTGCGGACAAATTCTTTGGTGTCCTTCTCCATGCTGTCCCAATAGTAGCCTGCCCTGATTATTTTTTGAACCAAGGAATCGGCACCAGAGTGGTTTCCGCATGTGCCTTCGTGGATCTCTCGGAGCACATAGTTCGTGTCTCCTGGCCCAAAACATACTGTAAGGGGGCCATCGAAAGTTCTTCTGCAAAGAGTTCTGTTTTCGTCGATCGAGAATCGGGCCACTTTGGTTCGCAGGGCCCTCGACTCCTTTGGGTTTGCGGGTAACTTCCCGCTCTCCAAATAATCGATATATTTGTTTCTCCAATCCTATTTTAGGCTAGTGGAGTTAATCTCGGCATGGCCTTCCTCGATCACTGATTTGGATAGTTGAACCACAAATTCGGGGAGCATGTCATCTTCCTCGACAGACGATCCCAGGTTTGCGAGGGCATCGGCTTCGCTGTTTTCCTCTCGAGGTATGTAGACTAGAGTCCATTCTTTGAAGCGGTGCAATGTGACTTGAATTTTGTCCAAGTATCTTTTCATCCTGTCTTCCCGATCCTCGAAGCTCCCATTTACCTGATTTACCACCAGGAGGGAATCACATTTTGCTTCAATAACTTCAGCTCCTAGGCCTTTGGCCAATTCTAGGCCTGCAATCATAGCCTCATACTCGGCTTCATTGTTAGTTAACCTTGCAGTTTTTATAGATTGTCTAATCACGCCACTCGTAGGTGGTTTTAGAACTATGCCGAGCCCGGATCCTCTTACGTTCGAGGCGCCGTCAGTGAACAGGGTCCATACCCCGGAAGATGTGCCCTTTTTTCTCAAAAGTTCTTTCTCGACCTCGGGTACGAGGGAGGGAGTGAAGTCGGCTACAAAGTATGCCAAAATCTGAGACTTGATAGCCATTCAGGGCTGATACTCGATATCATATCCCCCGAGTTCGATGGCCCATTTGGCCAGTCGGCCCGATAATTTGGTTTTATGCAGTACGCTCCGAAGGTGATACGTTGTTAAAATGCAAATATGATGGCATTGTAAGTAAGGTTTCAATTTTCGAGACAAACTTATTAATGCAAGAGCTAGTTTTTCCAGGTGCGGATACCTCGTTTCGGCATCACCCAGGGTTCGACTTACATAATAAACAAGGAATTGCATACCTTGTTCTTCTCGAACCAATACACCACTTACCGCTATCTCGGATACGGCCAGGTATAAATACAATGTCTCACCCTCTTTCGGGGTGTGGAGCAAAGGTGGGCTTGACAGGTATCGTTTCAACTCCTCTAAGGCGCATTGGCATTCCGGAGTCCATTCAAAGTTGTTTTTCTTTTTGAGCAAGGAGAAGAAATGGTGACTCCTGTCCGACGACCTTGATATGAACCAGCCCAAGGCTGCTATCCGCCCGGTCAGTTGTTGCACGGCCTTTACGTTATTTACCATCGTAATTTCTTCGATCGCTTTGATTTTATCGGGAGTGATCTCAATTCCTATGTTTGATACCATGAAACTTAAGAATTTGCTCGATCCTACCCCGAAGGCGCACTTCTCGGGATTGAGTTTCATGTTGTAACTTCTGAGGATGTCGAATGTTTCCTCCAATGAATCAAATGGTCCTCCGCGCACAGGGACTTAACTAACATGTCGTCAATATAAACTTCCATGGACTTGCCTATTTGATGTTCGAACATCTTATTAACTAGGTGCTGGTATGTGGCCCCTGCGTTTTTAGCCTAAAGGGCATTACATTGTAACAGTACGTACCGTACTTGTGATGAACGAAGTCTTTTCTCTATCCTCGCGGTTCATTTGAATTTGGTTATACCCCGAATAGGCATCAAGGAAAGTGAGGGTTTCATGGCCGGCCGTGGCATCGATCAAACGATCGATGTTGGGCAGCGGGAACGAGTCCTTTGGGTACGCCCTATTTTAGATCTTTATAATCTACGCACATTCTTAGTTTATTCCCTTTTTTGGGAACTACCACCACATTGGCCAACCATTCGGGATATTGTACTTCCCTAATAGACCCTATCTTGAGGAGCTTCGTTACCTAGTTTTTGATGAATGCATGCTTTATCTCGGACTGGGGTCTCCTTTTTTGTTTCACCTGTTTGTATTTGGGATCGATGCTGAGTCGATGGGTAGTTATCTCCGGTGGGATCCTTGTCATGTCTAAATGGGACCAAGCAAAGCAATCGACGTTGTTAATAAGGAATTGAATGAGTTTTTTCCTGAGTTTGGGGGTTAATCTTGTCCCCAGGTATACCTTTCGATCGGGGGAGGGGGGGGTGCTCGACCAATACGGTTTGCTCCAGCTCTTCGATAGTCAACTTCGTTGCATCCGATTCGGGGGCAATGAAGGTTCTGGGGGCAAGAAAATCCTCTTCATCATCTTTGGGGGTTTGTTGGCTTTCCAACTCTTCCGAGGCAGAGTGCACAGAATTCGGTACCTCATCACGAACCGCGAACATTTCATTCGCCGCACGTTGCTCTCCATACACTGTGTTTATTTTGTCCTTTGTTTGATACTTCATCATCTGGTGTAGGGTCGATGGTACCGCCTTCATGTTATGTATCCATGGCCTACCGAGCAAGGCATTGTACCTCGTGTCACCTTTAATGATGTGAAACCTGGTATGTTGAACTGCATTGGATATGTTAACCGGGAGGGTGATCTCTCCTTTTGTTGCTTCGCCGGCCATATTGAAGCCGTTGAGGATTCGGGAGGGAGGTATGACCTGATCGAGCAATCCGAGCTGTTCTACCACCATCGATCTAATTACGTTGGCCGAGCTACCTGGATCCACGAGTACACGTTTAATTTGGATGTTATTTAAGAGAAACGAGATTACCAGCGCATCATTGTGTGGATGAGATAGAGTCTCGAAGTCTTCTTCACTGAATGCGAGGATGTCCTCAGATACCCGGCCCCAGGTTTGTCCTTGCATTGCCGCAGAAACCTTTATCCGCTTGATTATGGGCCCCTGGGGAACGTCGGTCCCCCCGATAATCATATGAACGATGTGCTGAGGTTTTCTCGCTTCGCTTCCCCTATTTGCCTCTCTTTCTCCCCAAGTGCCTTTTTGATTTTCTCGACGTATATTCCTATTGGTGTGGGAACTTATTTCGACGTGTTGGGCGTTGCGCGAGATCACATCCACGGGAATTGGTTCTGGTGCGTCCTCAGGGTTTCGTGGTGGTACGCCAACACCTGGAACAGCCACGCCATTTTCTCCGTGGTCCTCAAGATTGTTGTTTTCATGTGCGTTTACTGAGTTAGCCATTTTGAACTGAAATTAAAGATCTTGGACAAGAGAAAGTGTGAAAGGTAACTTGCGTTACGTAGTAAACCAGCAAGAAAATAATCACTATTATTTTTAGCCCCACGGTGGGCGCCAAACTGTTTACCTTGAAAATGGTAATAACAATTAGATTTGATTTTGTGGTTCTAAAAATACGTGATCTATTTTTATGCTAGTTGTTAGGCAATAAATGCTAAGCGAAGAATTAGAAATTAAGATGATAGCTTGTAGATGACTTAATAATCAAATCGAAATGGCTGGGAATCGAGGCCTCGAGCTTACGTATGCGGTGTGTTGTATCTTGAGTATCAGATGTCCTTACAAAATGACAAGGGTCCCCTTTATAGATGGGGGAAATCCCAATATGACATATGTGTAATTATTACATAAAGTAACCGGTACAGCCACTCAATCAGCCTGATGCAGGCAGTCACTATCAATGCAGACATTGTCAGAAAATACCGCTCCTAGGTAACTTCCCACTTACTTGTGATAACCACCGGTTCGTTTTGCCTCAACACCGGGCACGAAGAACCTTCGAAGACTTCGAACCCCGAGCTATCCTTCGGACCTTTCGAGATGAAATTGTGCAATGCCTCAATGACCGTGAAATTGATCTATCCGATTTTAGCCGCATACAACGTGGCTATAAATTCATGCAGAGATACATAGCTCAAAATTGGAGTCGAGTGACTGCTCCAGATCTGTTTCTTCATGAGGAAGGGTATTACATTGCTAAATTTCATACACTTGATGATTTGAAGGATATTCTATATGGAGGTCCATACACAATTAATGGTAGACCAATGATCTTAAAACAATGGTCCCCTGAATTTGACCTTACCATTGAATTCTTGACTGAAATTCCACTGTGGATCACACTACCAAAGTTGCCAATGAGTTGATGGGGAAATAAGGCTCTAAGTAAAATGGCAAGTGCCATAGGAAAGCCACTCTTTGCGGATGAATGCACAACATAGCAGATGCACATATCCTATGCAAGAATTCTGGTGGAGGCAAATGTTACTAAAAAGCTTCCAACAGAGTTGACACTACAAGATCCATCTGGAAGAATGTTCCAACAACAGGTGATATATGAATGGAAACCATACGATTGTGTTGAGTGTATGAAGATTGGCCATGATAGTGAACTAACTAAACGAGAAAACAAAGAAGAGTAGCATAAAGAAAGGAAAAGGCAGGGTAAAGTCACTACAAGATGGCAAGTTAAAGGGCAGGGACAATAGCCTTTAGTTGAGCAGAATAATGCCTCAACCAAAGCACAAGCACAGGATCAACCTATTGTGACAACAACTAATGAGCCTAGTGTAAAATCTGCAACAGCAAAGGACAAAGGGAAAGCAAAAGAAAGCCAAAATCAAGAACTGTATACAGAATGGCCAGCATTGACTAGTAACAGGAAAATTATACCTGGGCAACTTCAGTATCAACTTGTAATGGATTTCAAATCTTGTAGAGAGAAGATGAGAGAGTTGAGAATCCTATGCCTCCTGATAGAGGAGGTAAAGATACACTACAACAATGACTTGGTTGATTTGGAGTAGTAGGGGTTTCAATAAGCGATATAAGCAAAATGAAATAAAGCAGTACATAAAGAAAAAACATATAAAGCTAGCTGGTCTGGTAGAAACATAGGTGAAAGAAGCTAAAGCAGAAAGGGTGATGAGCAGAATTACCCCTGGATGGAACATGATTACTAATTATGAGCATGCAATGAATGGTAGGGTGTGGATTATATGGGATAACCAAATGTATGAAGTGCAACCAATTGATAAACAAGATCAATTTATCCATTGCCAAGTTATAGGGAAACATAATGGAATGCAATGCTATCTCATAGTGGTATATGGGAAAAATGTAGTTGAACAAAGGAAGAACCTATGGCAACATCTTCAAAGGATAGCACAAACAACTACAAGATCATGGATAATTGGGGGAGATTTCAATACACTACTTACTCCTCAAGACAGATTGTCTAAGGTGTCTCTCACCAATGCTGACATTAGAGACTTCTCAGAACATTGTTTGCCACAATATCTGTGTGAGCTTCCCTGGAGAGATGACTATTTCATATGGACTAATAAACAACAAGTAGATGCCAGAGTGTGGAGTCGCATAAATAGATTATTGGGAAATGATGTCTGGATGATGAATAATGCCATATAGTCACAGAGTATGGAGAGCCCTATATTTCAGATCATAACCCTATGATTATTAATATAAGGCAGCCTAAGACTCAAACCAAATGTCCATTCAGGTTCTTCAATGTTTGGGAAAATCATGAAGCTTTTTAGTCGATGGTAGCTGAAGGATGGAGAAAGAACAAAGCATCAGGGAAAATGAAGAACATCTGGTTCAAACTTAAAGAGCTAAAAAATCAGTTTAGGCACCTAAATGCAACAGAATTAAAGGAGTAACAGAGAAGATAGAACAAGCTCGGATAGCACTTTTCCAAGTCCAAAGTTAAATGCAAACACACTCCTCTGATACATTAGTAGACCAGGAAAGGGAATGGCTACACAAACTGGAGACATGGTCACTTGTGGAAGAAGGGATTCTACAGCAGAAGGCTCGAGCAACTTGGATCAAATTAAGAGATTTCAATAATATATTCTTTTCAGCTGTCATAAAAGAAAGGCAACAAAATAAATAGATCACTAAAATACAAGCTCTATCAGGTTTTACTATTACAGAACCAGCAGCTATTAGGGAGAAGATAGTACAATTCTATATAAGTCTGATGGGGTCTAGGGCCAATAAGCTACTTGCTGTCAATATGATGGTTATGAAGAATGGGCCAATTCTAACACATCAACAACAAATAGAGTTAAATGCAGATGTGACTGATCAGGAGATATATGATGGGCTGAAAGATATTGGAAGTGATAAAGCGCCTCGAATAGACGGCTATAATGCAGAATTCTTCAAGAAAGCTTGGCCTGTGATAAAAAAAGAAGTGTATGAAGTAGTGAAAGAATTCTTTCACACAGGTGTAATGTATCCAGCTATCAACTGCACCACTATAACCTTGCTGCCTAAGATCCCCAATCCTGTGACAATCAAGGATTTCAAGCCCATTGCTTGTTGCACTGTATTGTACAAGCTGATATCTAAGGTCATTGTTGGAAGATTGCAAAAGATAATGACACACATCATCTCTGAAGCTCAAGCAGGATTTATTCCAGAGAGGAAAATAGCAAATAACATCATATTATCACATGAACTTGTCAAAGTATACAACAGGAAACATATATCTCCCAGATGCATGCTAAAGATAGACATAATGAAAGCTTATGACTCAGTGGAATGGATATACTTGGAGCAGCTTATGGAATACTTAGGCTTTCCTACAAAATTTCTCCACTGGGTGAAAACATGTATATCAACAGTGAGCTACTCTATCATGATTAATGGAGAATTGACAGAGCCTTTCAATGCTACTAAAGGGCTTCGACAAGGTGATCCCATGTCACCATTCTTATTTGCAATTGCCATGGAGTCTGAGCATGCTACTTAGAGGATTGAAGTAAACAAAGGAGTACAAATACCATCCAAGATGTAGAAAGCCGAACACAACTCATCTCAGTTTTGCAGATGATCTACTCATGTTTGACAGGGGTGACACTGGTTTTGTACAAGCTTTGCACCACTGCTTCAGGCAATTCTCTGTTGCTAATGGTTTACAAGCTAATCTAACAAAAAGTGCTATCTACTTTGGAGGAGTGGCAAAGCCAGAACAAACGAGAATACTACAGAGTACAGGTTATTCACTAGGGGAGTTGCCTCTCAAATACTTGGGATTCCCTTAGACACAAAAAGGTTAACTATACTTCAAAACCGTTGGTAGAGAGAATTGTAGCAAGAGTATCTTCTTGGACTGCCCGGAAACTATCTTATGCTGGTAGAGTTCAGCTTGTGCAGACTTTTTATTTGGCATCCAATCTTACTGGGCTCAACTGTTTATTATACCAGCAAAGGTTATGAAGCTGATAGAGGCCTATTGTAGAAGTTACATATGGTCTAGCACAAATACAATCACAAAGAGAACATTGATAGCTTGGGACAAGACGTGCCTACCTAAATCAGTAGGGGGCTATAACCTGACAAATCTCCAAGTGTGGAACAAGGAAGCAATCACTAAAACATACTGGGACCTGACTCATAAGGAGGATAAAGCTTGGATAAGATGGATTCATGCATACTACATCAAAGGGAAAAACATACTTGAAATGGATATCCCACAACAGGCAAGTTGGATGGTGAGAAAGATTCTGGATGCTAGGAAAAATGCACATCAAATACCAGCCCTAAAACAACAGAAGATCTTCATTAAGTAGATATACTTAGGGCTTTTGGGAAATCATAACAAAGTAGAATGGAGAACTTTGCTATTCCATAATGAGGCTAGACCTAAAGCAGTGTTTACAATGTGGCTCTAGTGTCATGAAAGGTTGTTAATTGTGGATCGATTAGCCAAATGGGAAATCCAAGTGAACTCAGGATGCATTCTATGTATGGGTGCAGAAGAATCTCATCTCCATCTCTTTGGTGAATGTAGCTTCTCCAAAGCAGTATGGATGAGATTACTGAGATGGTTGCAACTATTGAATGCTCCAACTAATTCCTGGCAACAAGTGTTTACATGGCTGCTTTCCCAATCCAAAGGCAAGTTACTGAAGGAAAAAATACTCAAGATGTTGTATGCAACATTAGAGCACAAGGGGGAGTGAGGACAAAGATGCAGCAGCTTCATTTCTAAGGCAAAATAACAACTCAAAACCAGCGGGCAAGATAGTACTTTGAGGATTTGTGAACTGCTCATAGTATAGTTATAGAGATAGGACTGTGTATGGATTATAGCAAGTCGAGGACGACTATGCTGATTTGTAATGATTGCTCTTGGTGATTAATGAAATATTCTAATTACCAAAATAAATAAATAATATGTACTACAAAAGATGGTCACTTAATACCCAATTGTAAATAATTTATACTTAACATGAGTTCATAACCTGAAAAAAGACAATATAGAGTAAGTCAAAGTTGAGCATAATTATTTTTTCTATCATTCGTAAAAAAAGTTAAATTCTTTTCTAATGGTTGCGTTACATAGGTTAATGAAGATGCCTCATTATTATTTCCAGTTTGTTTTGGTATTTTTCTAATAAGTATATGGAGTATCATAATTTCTTTAATTTTGCAGATCCACATGTTTTCATACTTGCACGTCGAACATTTTTTTAGGCAAAATGGCCTCCCGGCCACTTAAACTTGCATCGATGTTTTATCCCGATAAACCAACTTAAAATTTTTCTATTTGAACACTTTAACTTGATTATTTACAAATCAATAAGTCACATTGACCGTTGACTATGCCTATGTGGTAGCAACATAGCTAACTTGGACAAACTGCGTGCAAATCACGCTTATAATGCGCGTGACTATGCTGAGTTCCTTTAAAAATAGACAAAAACATTCTCTTTCGTTTAACCTCTCCACCTTCCCCCTTCATTTTACCCCTCCCTCTTTCTTTCCCCTTTTTGGTATCCCCCCCCCCCCATTATTCCCGGTCCCTTCACCTCCCCCAATTCCTCCTTAGTTTCTCTTCTTTTACTTTCCTTTTCTCGATTGATTTTTCTTATAAGGTTCTTGCGAGGTGTTTTCCCGGGTGGTCTTTTTTTAACGAAGATAGATTGGTCTTTTCTTAGTTGCAGCTAAGTAATTTAGAGGTTGGGGTTTTAGATTTGGAATTGATGAAGGAGATTTGGTGGAAGTAGGTAACTTACTGGTAGTACAAAGGTGATGTTGGATTGGTGGCCGACTGCGGCTTTCTAATTTTTGTTGCTCGTTGGTGCCTTCGGTCTCTAAAGAGATGCAGGGTTGTTGGTGCTAAAGTAGGGCATGACGACGGCAGTGCCGCTGGCATATCGAATTTTTTTTTGGAAATGAGGCCAAGTATTTTATGGATAAAATGGCGATTTTATTGAACATATGAATAAAAAGAGAAGGTATGGATTAAACATAAAAGGAAAATAAGGTAGATAATTTAAGAGATTTTGTGCGGTCAAAAATTGGTCATGAATGAAGATAGTGGTGGTGTAGGGCTGCGATGGAATAGTCTTAGTGGGGTTGAGAAGGAGAGAGATTTTTTTTTACTAGAAAAATTCCATAAATTTATTTTTAAAAAAGTGGACCCACAAATCACACGTGTCATATAACGATCCAACCGATCGTTGTGCTTTCTAGAACTCTGTTCCCTTAAATAATACTACCCATAGGTGTTTTCACTATTTTATGACTTGCGGGGATGATTGGTTGGGTTTTGAAGGGTTCAGGTTAAAATCGGAACACTTGGTTTCTTAATGTTGGCTAAAAAGGGCTAAGTTTGACTTGAGTCAACGTTTTGAGTAAACAACCTCGGAATAGGAATTTGAAGGTTCTAATAGGTTCGTATGATAATTTTGGAATTGGGTGTATGTTCGGATCGGTTTTCGGATGACCGGGGAGTGTTTCGCCGCTTAATATTGGTAGTTAGCACCTTGAATGTTTTAAAGTTATTTAAATTATGTTTGAAATAGGATTTGGTGCTATCGAGGTCCGATTGGGATTCCGAGCCTGGGAATAATTCCATATGGTGATTTAAGACTTGCACGCGAAATTTGAAGTCATTCCGAGTAGTTTAAGTATGATTCGGTGTGTTCGGAGTAAGTTGGAAAAATTTAAAGTTCATAAGTTGATTCTATCGGTTTTGGGTGACGATTCTTAGTTTTAATATTGTTATCTGCGTTTAGAGGGTGCGAGCGAGTCCGTGTTATATTTATAATATTTTTGGTGTGTTTAGGCGAGGCCTCGGGGGGGGGGGAGGGGGAGGGGGGAGGAGGGGGGGAGGGCGAATGCCATTCGGACGAGGCACGGAACTCATTTGACTTGGAATGATAGCTGAAGCATCAAGCTTCTGGTACAATCGCACCTGCAGTGGGCCAGCCGCAGGTGCGAGCTTGCAGAAGCGAGCCAATAGCCGCATAAGCAGACCAGCATGGGCTGCCCAATGGTCGCAGAAGCGAGGTTAGGGGCCGCATCGGCAAAGGCGCAGATGCGAGAAAGGGATCGCAGAAGCGACATGGTGAGCGGGTGCGGTGTTTGTGCCGCAGAAGCGGGCTCGGAGA